TGCAATCAAGAAATTCACTCTAGGCACATGACCAACAAGTACTTCAGTGCCAGCACTATCCATGCAAAACAGTAAACATCGTGTGAAGCAATGCGTGCACGTATGTGAAATTTGGCTCTACATTAAATCCAGCTTCAGGCTTAACTATATTAAAGAATTGCCAAACTGCTAATGCTTTTTTTAAAAATTTTTTTATTTTCTTTATTTTTGAGGCACTGTCTCCCTCTATTGCCAGGCTGGAGTGCAGTGGCGTGATCTTGGCTCACTGCAACCTCCGCCTCCTGGGCTCAAGCAATTCTCCTGCCTCAGCCTCCCGAGTAGCTGGGACTACAGGTGCGGGCCACCACGCCCAGCTAATTTTTGTATTTTCAGTAGAGACAGGGTTTTACCATTTTGGCCAGGATGGTCTCGATCTCCTGACCTCGTGATCTGCCCACCTCGGCCTTCAAAGGTTCTGGGATTACAGGCGTGAGCCATTGAACCTGGCTGCATTTCTTTACAATACTTACTTTATTTTAATCAAGACTAAGAGCTTTAACTGAAAACATTAATTAGCCAAATGTCTCCAATTCTCTATCAGGTTTTAAAGAATATTTTATTATCTAAACCTTTTCCACATCTTTCTCCACTACTTACTGGTTTCTTACTACGGTATTTCATAAATAACCTTTTCAAATCTGTAATCTGAACTAACTGTTAGATAACTTCTGAATTAAACAAAATTATTATGTTTCTACTAGTAATATAAACTTTTCGGCACATATTATCTACAGAATTATGTGTTAACTAGAATTCTTATCCTTAGTAACCTAAAACTTGTGTGAAACCCCAAAAAGCAAGAAATTCTGAACCATCAGTGTGGGCATTTATAGATAAGAACAGTTCCACAATTTAGAAACATACTTCCCCATATCACATCCCTTTCTTTATTGGAAATGACCCAGATATTAAATGAGCATCAAAAATAACTCAAAGCATTTAATTTACACAAAAAGTTTACCTAAAACATTTATCCCATTCACTGTGCTCAGTTCTTTCAGTTTTAACAAGGGTGACATCAGACATCAATCATGGTATGTAAAATGAACATTGGTTCAGTCCAGAAAGGTGGGACAACTCTAAGGGGGGTGGGGAGGGGGGGCTTCCAGGGCACAGGTAGGTGAGAGACAAACAGTTGCATGCTCTTGAGTTTCTGATTAGCCTTTCTAAAGGAGGCAATCAGATATGCATTTATCTCAATGACCAGAGGGATGACTTTGAGTAAAATGGGACACACATTTGCCCTAAGCAATTCCCAGCTTGAATGTTCCCTTTAGCTTAGTGATTTTGGGGGCCCAAGATATTTTCCTTTTACAGATTTCTCTGATTTGTCAAAAAAAAAAAAAAAGTCACGCTAACCAAGATCATTTTGTTTTGGCTAGGTTTATAGTTTTATAATCTTCTATGCCAAACACTGACATCTCAAAATATCTAGCGAAGACAAACATAAAACCAGACAAAAAATGTATGCTGATAGTTCTGAAGGCATTTGTTTTTATTTTACCAGTAATTTTAAAGCCAGCTTGTTTAGTAAAGTTATACTTAAGTCACGTGAACTTAAAAATTGCTTAGACTTAGTTAATGTATGAGCACTCTTATAAGTCAGTTCAGTAAACACAGCATATAACAACAAATGTACATACAAATAAACACATCTAGACATGTATACACATACACGAACCAAGATCCAATAGCTTGGAACCCTAGCCGTGAGATAGCAATACAAGCTCACCGGTTTTACTTCGTTTGCCGCAATAAATAATCCCATGAAGGCTGTGAACCAAAATTTCAAGTAAAGCATTTTCCATGGCAGTTTGATTTTTAAACGCCAAACCGCACCAGACCCCAAAGGACACTGGGGCCAAACAGTTCCAAACAAGAGCACCACACATTAACCAGGCCCTCTGCTTAGAACAGCAGCACAAAAGCCTGGATACATGCAACACCATCCCATTTTCCCATTCAACGGCAAACTCCAGATTACAAATATTGGGGCCAAACAGTATTGCAACTACGAGAGAAAGTTCTAAGGAGAGTTTAGTACTAGACCTCAGAACCTCTGCCAAGGGCATCCCCTTTGTAGAGATTGAAGTCCAGAGGATCCCCGTGGGTTGTTCCCCTTTGGAGTCCAATCTTAGAGTATCAGACGTCTCTGACCTTAGGTGGGCACTGGTGCTGCTTTGTATACTTTTCCTCCAGAGGTGATGGCTTGCTGTGAGCTTTCCTTTGATACCTGGGTGTAATCCCCAACTTTCAGCATCTGTATAATTTGATAAGACCACGCTTTCCCATGCTTCTCGTTCCACTAGAGTGACAGCCATGAACTGTAATGATAGGATGTGGAGCCTGAGTGGGCTTCTTTTGTCCTTAGCCAGTCGAGTAGGGGAGGGAAGAATTTATGATTATGTTTTTCTGATTTCTGTGAGCTGCCGTAACATATTAATCAAACCCAAAGGAGAAGTCAGGGGAACTCCGATTTAGAGCCAGTTGATCAGAAGCACAGGTGAAACATCCTGGGGCTTGCAATTGGCATTAGAATTGTGGCTCAGTCTTCAATCTGTGTGATCTGATGGTATCCCCAGGTATAATGTAGAATTGAATTGGAGGATGCCCAAGTAGTGGTCTGTGCAGAGTTGCTTTGTTTGCTTACTGGCTGGTGGGGAGAAATCTTCACACATCTGAGGTCAGAAGCATGTTGTAAGAGAATAGTGGAAGAAACTGAGTTTATTTCTTCCTCTCATAACCCCAATGCTTTTTTTCCCCCCTCTGTCTCTAAAGGCTCATTTTGAATCTGCATTTCTTAAAGTTTACAACCTTTCAGTCTAATTTCTCACAATCACTCTTACCAAAGAACCTGGGTCCCACCATGAGAGAAAACAGCCCATCAACCCCCTGGAATATTTTATTTACTGGCATTCACTTTGGTTGGTGTGCTAAAATGATTGAGCCATATGAAATTGCCCTTTGTGTGGGTTGAAACTGGGTCAGATAGCAATTTCATTCTCATTTTGGTAAAATTTAAGGACTTAGTGACCCATAAGAATATTATTGGAAGTATTTTTATTGCTATAGCATTTAAATAAAAATAATTCCATTTGTTGCTGAAATTTTTACTAAAAGAGTTGAGCATGTGATAGTAATTAAAACAAAATATTCTGTTTTATAGTATCAGTAGTTTGAAAAGAAATATTATAACTAAAATATAAAGTAAGTGCAATGGAATTAGACTTTGAGGTGGAACATGAAGACCTAATTTCTGATGTGTGACAGATGATATATCAGGCAATTAAGGAGATTATTTTGTTCAGGCAGTTGCAATAGGGAGAATGTTCACTAATGGGAAACCTCTTGAAGAGGAAGGAGAAAAGGTAGGGATTAATAAAATGGGAGTCATCAAGGAAGGGTAGAAGTAGGTCCTATTTGGGAATTGTATTTCAGTTGGTCCTTTCTGGTTAACCGTTTCTTGGTTTAAAAAAGGGTGTGGTGCTTATCCATTCTGGCCTTCTGAGAGCACTCAGGGCTAAGATAAAGTGTAACACTGTCAGATGGAACAACATTATGAACGTTTGTATTAATAAATCATATGGGATGCATACCACAGGTTGAAAGTGTGATTCAGAGAAAACTTATCAAAAGTTTCATTCATAACTTTAAAATCTATAGGTTTCTTAATATTTATTTCTCCATGAAAGGACTAAAACAGGGCAGCTTTGTGTTGTGGAGTAATCAACAATTGAAATTCAGGCTAAATCGGGAAGAAGCCAGCCATTAAAGACCAAGACTAGGCTAGTGGGCCATATTGTAGACAGAAGACCCAGTATAAGTGGTAGCCTTCCGAAGTCTTTTGGAAGTTGAAGATGGGAAGGGTGTCTATAAATGGGTCAGGGCAGAGAAGTCTGTAATTTTGTTAAAGGGTAAATTTCAAGAGTGCAAAATCACAACCTGTATAAAATGACCACGTATCAAAGATTTTATTTACCTTTTTAGTAAGGGAACCAGGCACAACCTGTTTAAAGGAGCAGTAAGAAAACCATGAAATCTATGTAGAGTGAAGGAATGTTAAAATGAGTTTACAGATGGAAGCAAAACTGATTTTTCCCGCTAGGGAGAGGGTTGCCTCTTTGTCAGACAGTTATTCACATATCTCTGGACAAGAATTATTTGAGGTGTGAAATAGCTCAAAGGCAATGAAAGGAGCAAAACCCCCTTCCTCCCCAGGGTCAGATTGTTCCCAGAGGCTCCAGCATTCCATTGTCATGGTATTCAGTAATCTCTTTTGCTTATGCCAAAGTCCTAAGTTTTTCCTTGCCATACTCCCTCTATAGTAACTACTTGCTGCTTCTGATATTGATGCATTTTAAGTTGGAATTTCATTGGCAATAGCCATAATTCAGTTTGACCATATAGCAGTCTAACTTTAAATTTTTATCTATAAATTGGAGGTGAAGGTTAGTGAATTTGAATTAGCTCAGTGGTTCTCAGTTGGTGTGATTTTGTCCCCCAGGGGACATTTGACAATGTCTGCAGACATTTTTTTGGTTGTCAAAATCTGGCAGGTCAGGTGGGAAGTGCTTTGGGCGTGTAGAAGGTAGAGGTCAGGAATGCTGCCAGACATCTTATAATACACAAAACAGCTCCCCACCACAAAGTTATCTGGCTCCAAATATTAATAGTGCCAAGATTAAGAAACCCTGATAGCCATTGAAAACTGTTAGAGGGAAGCTCAAGTTTCTGCTGTGTTAAAATTAAACATAATTTTATGCTCTCAAATCTGTGTGGAAAGCATACATTTCATTGTTAAGGTCTTGAAATAATGTTCCTGTTACAATTTTCCATTTTAAAAATTAAGCAGTCAGCATACCCTTTAACTTGAGAGAGTTGGTGATTAAGTGGAAACAGTTGCTTTCTCTTGTAATAAGTGTATAGCACTTAGAATTTTTTTATTACTTTTCCTATTTTAGGTTTCACTGAAGAAACATCTTAGAGATTCATTGCACCTCTGAGATTTAATGTTTACAACTTGGAGTTGTTGACCTTCTTAAACATTTTGAAAGTCAAAATGAAAGTTTTCTGTGAAGTTTTAGAACAGTTATACAAGAAGGTACTTCTTGGAGTCACACTTGAAAATGACAGCCATGATTACATCTTTTATCTCAACCCAGGAGTTTCAGATCAAGATTGCCCTACAGCCACCTCCTTAGAATGGGCAAACACCTATGGTATCCAGGGCAGGCATCAGCCTATCTCTGTCGGTGTGGCTCCCATTGCTGTAGCACCTGCATGTTTGAAGACCAACTCTCTGATGAGCAGTTCCAGAGAAGTAATGCTCCTTCAGTTAACAGTGATCAAAGTGATGACAACCCGGATATTGTCTGTCAAAACTGAGTTCCATGCAAAGGAGAAATACAGAGATATAATTAAAATTCTCTTAGAATCAGCTAAAGTTGATTCTAAATTAGTAAGCCATTTGTTTTTTTTAAAGATCTAGATATTTAAAATAAAAATTTTAAGAACATTCAGCAATAGTGGTTAATTGTATTTGTTTTCCTCTAGATCTGTATGTTCCAAAATTCAGATAAATTGTTATGTCACATGGCCGCACAGTGCCTTGCATTGCTTCTCTATTTCCAATTGAGAGAAAAGGTAAGATAAGTAATCAAAGTGCGTTATTATTTCTCTTTCTTAATTTTTTTTTTAATTTAAATGTTTTGTGGAGACAAGGTCTCAGTGTGTTGCCCACTCTGGTCTCAAACTTCTGGGCTCAAGCAATCCTCCTGCCTTAACCTCCCAAAGTGCTGGGATTAAAGACGAGAGCCATGGCACCCAACTTGTTTCTCTTATAGTTTCTTTAAAATTGCTCTTTGACATTTGATTTTTACCCTTCAAATGTTTGTATTAATAAGACGTTTGCTCACATAATAACATATGTAAAACCATAAAAATTTAAGAATAGAATAGATTATTTGTGTCAAGGATTAGAGTCTTAAATATGTTGTCAATCTTAATCAGATTCTTAACCTGAGAGGTGAGTTTCACGTAAGAGTCCATAACTTTCTGCATATTCTCAAACTACTAGGTGGACCCCTTTCCCCTAAAAAGATTTAGGAACCACCTCTTGAGAACAAGCCTATTTTCACAGGTTTAATGTAAATTCTAACAACAATTCTCAGCATAATGTAAAACAATATAAACAAATTCAGAGTTGAGTTTTTCTCTTATCTCTGAATTAAACAAATGAAGTATCTACTGACTTTTCAACCATAATCTCTTGCTTCTTTCAATAACTTTTTCCTGAATATAAAAAGTGATATTATAGTAGAAAATTTGGAAAATAGACAAAGTATAAAGAGCAAATTAAAATTAAAAATTCACCACTTAGAGATAACACTGCTAACGTTTTCATCTTCCTTTTTTATTTTATTTCTATGGCATATTCAAATTTTTTACTTAAATTATATTAGGATATTTCTGTTCCTTCTCAGTTTACCACATATTATCATACTTCTTTTGACCAAATGTGTAAACAATGTGGTATACAGTTGTGTTATGTAAAGAAAATATTGTATTTTAACTACTTTTTTTTTTTTTTTTTTGACACAGAGTCTCGCTATGTCGCCCAGGCTGGAGTGCAGTGGCCGGATCTCAGCTCACTGCAAGCTCCCCCTCCCAGGTTTACGCCATTCTCCTGCCTCAGCTTCCCGAGTAGCTGGGACTACAGGCGCCCGCCACCTCGCCTGGCTAGTTTTTTTGTATTTTTTAGTAGAGACAGGGTTTCACCATGTTAGCCAGGATGGTCTCGATCTCCTGACCTCGTGATCAGCCTGTCTCGGCCTCCCTTAACTACTTTCTTTATTTTCTCACTTGCAGATAACCTTAAGTAATTCCTGGATTGCTTTTTGCCAGAAAAATCTTTCTGAATACTCTGAGAGTAATAAAGCAATATACTGCCTCTGGACTCTTACAGCAATAATAAAAGAAATCTTTAAAGATTCATGTTCACAAAAAACAGGTATGGATTGCATGGCCCCATAAACAATCATCATCCTGCTCCTGGGAGTATTGTATTCATAATGAGAAACAAAACTTACTTTGGAACATCTGATCTGTCTTAAAGTAATGAAAAACTCAGTCTCTTCCAATATATTTTGATTGAGGATAACCTGTTTTAAAAGAAAAAAGCATAAGGAAAAAAGTAAAACTTTTCATGGTCGTAAATCCCTTGCATTGTTTGATGCTACTGATATTCGTACGATGAATTTCTTTTTGTTTTGTTTTTTTTGTTTTTATTTTTTTGAGACAAGTCTTGCTTTGTTGCCCAGGCTGGAGTGCAATGACATGATCTTGGCTGACTGCAACTCCTGCCTTGCGAGTTCAGGTGATTCTTCTGCCTCAGCCTTCCGAGTAGCTGGGATTATGGGTGCTCACCACCACACCCAGCTGATTTCTGTATTTTTAGTAGACACAGGGTTTTACCATGTTGACCAGACTGGTCTCAAACGCCTGACCTCAAGTGATCCACCAGCATCGGCCTCCCAAAGTGCTGGGATTACAGTTGTGAGCCACTGCACCTGACCATAAAATGAATTTTAACTGTGGTTCTTAGCCATTACTCTGTGTAACCTCATTTGTTAATGTTAGAGGTAAACATTCCAAATCTGTTTTTTCATCTTATAAAGTGATATTTATAAAAACCGAATTGTAAAATTATTTGAAGAAGACTGCATTTTCCCTGTTTATAATTCCCCCTATTTTTATAATTGCAGAAATTCTAAAGCAGTTCCTGACTCATTTCGACACTATTTTTGAAGTGTTTTACAATTCCTTATTCTCTCAGCATTTTGAAAACTGCCAGGATACTTCTAAAATAGTAAACATCCTGATATGTTTCCTGGAGTTGCTTGAGCTTCTCATAGCCTCCAGAATCTACCTGAAGTTACATTTCACTTGCCAGAGGATTTTATTTTTGAAACCATCTTGCATGCTAGAAGTTATTACCTGGCCTATTCAGGCTTTTGTCAAAAGGAAGGTCATCATATTCCTCAAAAAATGCCTTCTCTTTAAAGTGGGTGAAGACCTTTGTCGTGGATCTGTACCTCCCCTAATGCCGCCAGACCGTCATGTAGCAATGGACATGCTGGCTTTAGCTAATGCCGTTTTGCAAGCTGTGAATTCGGGATTGTTGAAGACACTGTCTGTTGATGGAAAACATTCCTTTTTTGGAGGTGATGAAGTTCAACCTGGATGTGAACATATCGCTAGTCCAGATCATGTGATCCTTAGAGCAGCAAGCTTAGTTATAATGAAATCCTTGGAAATCAAGTTTCAGAATTGTTTGTCAGCAAGTGAAATGAAAGGTAATTCCCCGAACTCCTTTTGTATGCAGCGTGAAATTATTAAGTATAGTAATTCATAATTATCAAATCTCAGGACTAATATAAATTCCACTAATTTCAGCTGTATGTTATCCTATTTATAACTTGCTACATTTTCCAAAAAAAAAAAAAAAAAAGAGAACTGGATTTACCTTTAAGAAACATGTCAGCTTTTTGTGGCTACAATGAATTTGTAAAGTATAAGGAATGATTTAGGTTTAAAAAACTTGCTGTTGAGTCATCTCAAAGTAAGTGATGGAAATTCATATTCAAGTATTTATAGCATTTTATTTATATTAATCCTTCTTTTTTAAAAAAAATCTAAAGTGCAGTTGCGTGACCATGGTCCACTGCAGCCCTGGCCCGCCTTCGGCCCATGCTATTCCTCCCGTCCCAACCTGGGAGGTCCCATCCTGGGAGATCAAGGCTACAGTGAGCTGCGATCCATCGCACACCTGTACTCCAGTCCTGGTGCAACAGATGGAAATCCTGTCAGAGAGAGAGAGAAACAGAGTGAGGAGACAGAGAGATTAAAGAAAAATGTGTTCACTCCCACTTAAGTGTTGTTACTATTGTTAGTTATTATTTCTTTGTTATTGTTATGTTTACTGTTTGTTTGTTTATTTTGAGGCTGGGTCTTGCTCTGTTGCCCAGGCTCACTGCAGCCTCAACTTTTTGATCTCAAGCGATCCTCCCGCCTCCATTTCCCTACCCCATTTATATTAATCCTTCATACAATTATTAATTCTACTAATGTAGATTATTGAAAATTAGATATTGATTTGAAGCTAATATATGAGAAGTTATATTGATAAATTGTTACATATATAATTTCCAGGATAGTAACACAGGAGTTCAAAGTCTTCCATTTTACTTGAGAAAAATGAATAGTAAATGTCTCTAAACAAGCAGCATACAGATTCAGTGAAAAGTTTGAATGTGAGCAGTGACATCACTGAATTGCTTTGGATATAATTTAGCTTCTAATAACTACACATTAGTTATAATTCTGTGCAGTTATAATTTATAACACTAGATGGCACCTGTTATATAATTCAGTTTTAAATTGTAGTTAAAACTACCTAAAATGTTTTTTATTTTTGTGCTTAATAGTAGTACTTCTGTGCTCTAAACAAACAAAAAATGTTTTTCTGTTATTTTGAAGACAAAATTATTTTTGCTTGGTCGCATTCTTGCCTCTAGTAACAGACAGCTCTGGCATCCGATGAAGTGATCTTTGTGGTCTGCTCATTTATTTATCTGCTTTTAGCAAGAAATCACATAGCTTTTATTTCTGAGAGACAGTTATTTGGCAGTTGTTGCGAATAGATGATCTAGCTGTACATTTTAAATGTATGCTCTGGAATGAGCCTCAGTGTCCTCATTTGCCAAATAAAGATGATTCCTAACTGATTCCTGATGACTTTTTGAAAGTGAATTAGGATAATTGCATCTTAAGGTAGTCTAGGCACTATGAGTTTATATATAGGCAAGATATTAATTCATTCATGAACTATTGCCTATAGTTTGAAATTTGCATTTTTTGAAGTTGACTTACAGAGGTTCATGTCTGAGTTATTGACCTTCTTAAAGCCTCACCTTCAGCCCTCTCTGCAATTACACAATCCATGCAAATGGCTGTCTAGAGTTTTCATAGAACAAGACGATGACATGCTGGAGGCTGCCAAGGCATTACTGGGCATCTACTTAACACTGACCAGGTTAGTGTATTTTAAAGTATTTATTGAACGGCCTACAAGTCAGGAAAGCAGAAAACATTTCTGAGAATTTGCTGGGCGTGTTGCTTACTTTGCATCATTTGGGGTAAAACATCCTGTGGTTTCCTCGTAAGTGGCAGTTCCTTTCTTTAACCCTGACTTACATGAAAAGGAGACTGCATTTGCATCACTGTGAAAACTTGGCTGGCTGGGCCGATCTCAGGTAGTATAAGCAGACTGGTATCTAAAACCATGGCTTCTGATTTAGTCTTCAGTAAGTCAATACACTTCTCTGAATCCTAATTGTTGTTCATTTAAGACCTCTTTTCACCCCTAAGACTTACTTTTTTGTGTTAAGCTTCAGTAAGATGATCTTTGCTTTTGTAAAGGTGAATACAAACTTAGAAATAGTCAAAAGGAGCTGTTCTGAATTTTCATTTCAATATTCAGTTGAATTTGGGCTGATACCTTCTTGAGGCAAATGTCTGAAATTGGTTATGTTACTGATGATTTATACTGATTGTCTCTGCTTTATTAAAATAGCTGTACTTGAGATAATATCTTCTTGTGGCAAATATCTATAATTGGTTATGAAGCTAATAACTGATGACCTTTTCCACTGTTTCTGCTTCTGCTTTATTAAAACACTCACATACTTGCTTTATTTCCATTTCTTTCTTGGCCTGGGAGAAAGGGATTTCTTGCTAATGATCTGTGGTGCAGTGTTGTGCTGCCAGTACTTACTTGTATTATGACACTGCTGGCAATGGCTGCTCTTAGACTCTTAAGTGTTTGGGGCCAATTTTCAAAAGATTCTAATCAAGAACACAAAATTCCTGCATGTGATTTGAATTAGGTTCAAAACGGTCAAATACAAATTCAGTCTGAAAATGTACACGCCTGTAAGAGTATATCTTAATTGTACTCAAAGTTAGCTCCTTACTCCTCAGGAAGTGGAAACCCCTGAATTAAACTTACTTTGTATGTGAATTTCTGACTTTCTTAATTCCAGTTCGGTGTGTCCAGAGAGGCATGTGCTTACAACATAGATACTTTTTTCAGATGTAGTTGTATTTGTTAAGATTTTTTTGGTTGTAAATGATGGAAACCAACTCTAATTTGAGCGAAAACCAAAGTTTATTGGCTCATAACTGGGAATTCTAAAGGGTCAAGTTGGAGTTAGGTATGTACAGGGACTATAATCATGTCATCAGTCACTTCTCTTTTTCTCTGTCTCACAGTTTTGAATTCATTCTCAAGGCATGGCCACCAGCAGTTCAAGGCTTACCTCAGCCCTACAGTTATAATCTTCCATAGCTCCAGCCAAAGTCCCAGGAGAGATCTGATTTAACCCACTTGGGTTACAGAGCCTTGTCAGAACCAGTCATGGTGGCCAGGAGCATGGAGTGTTCTGATTGGTCAGCCTGGGTCACCATGCCCACCCTTGTTGAGGGTAAGGAAGGAGGTTTAGGAATTATCTTACCACATGGAATTGGTTACCTGTAAGAATGAGGAATTCTGATGTCAAGAGAAAGGATGACAGAGAACTTTTATTGGGCAGACAAAAACTAGAACTGCCAAAGTCAGTGGATTTTGCTTTACTGAGTCGGACTTATTTAGAGCTTATGGGGAAAGGAATAGGTTTTGAAATTTTTTCTTTTAAGAAGTGATGCATAGATTTAAAAGTAATCTAATAGGTTAATTTATGGTATGTGAATTATATCTGTTAAAACTGTTTATTTTTGTAAGGTCGTTAATCTGGATTCTCCATTATCTTCATTTTCAGAGGATGTGAAGCCACTGAAAGCTTGACCCAAGGAAAAGAAATGTGGGACCATCACACACATGAAAATGGCTACAATCCTCACTGTATTTTCTTGTTCTTCTTAAAAAATATAGGATTTGATTCTACAGTTCTTCTTGACTTTTTGATTTCATCAGAAACCTGTTTTCTTGAATATTTTGTTAGATATTTAAAATTACTGCAAAAGGACTGGGATAATTTTTTCACCATTTGCAATAACTTTGATGCAACTGAATCTAAATATGACATAAGTATTTGTGACTGTGTCCCCTCACTTGTCCAAGACCAAAGCACCAACCGAACAATACCCCATCATTTGACTGCTCCTCATAGTCACATAGATGTGTGTACTCGGCACTCCTGGGCTTCCGATGCTCCCTTTGAACCACTGAAAGCTATGATGTCCAAGGGGACTGACACCATGTGTACTTCTAGTCTGTCTTCCCCCCGGGCCTCTCAAAGTCTGGTAGATTACGACAGCTCTGATGATTCTGAAGTGGAATCTACAGACCAGTGTTTAGCTAACAGTAAACAGACATCTTTACACCAACAAGCAACTATGGAGATTCAGGATGCAGCTGGGACAAGCAGAGATAAAGAAGAATTTAGCCTTGAGCCTCCATCAAGGCCTCTGTTTCTGAAAGAATTTGATACTGCCTTCTCCTTTGATTGTGAAGTAGCCCCAAATGATGTCGTCTCTGAAGTGGGAATATTTTACACAATAGTAAAATGCTTCCAGGAACTACAAGATGCCATCTGCCGTTTGCAAAAGAAAAATCTTTTCCCATATAATCCAACTGCACTTTTGAAGTTGTTAAAATACATAGAAGTGATAAGTAATGAAACTATGAACACTTTGTAAAACATTGGCATTTTATTTTCCAGGAATTATTTTTCCTTAATATAAATTATGTCTCAATGAAATAATAGTATAAAATAATCACCACAAAAGGGTTTTCCTTTTTTTTTTTGAGGCAGAGTCTGATTCTGTTACCCAGGCTGGAGTGCAGTGGTACGATCTCAGCTCACTGCAACCTCCACCTCCCTGGTTCAAGTGATTCTCCTGCCTCAGCCTCCCGAGTAGCTGGAATTACAGGTGCCCGCCACCACACCCAGCTAATTTTTGTATTTTAGTAGAGACGGGGGTTTCACCATGTTGCCAGGCTGGTCTTGAACTCCTGACCTCAAGTGATCCACCCGCCTTGGCCTCCCAAAGTGCTGGGATTGCAGGCATGAGCCTCTGTGCCTGGCTGGGTTTTCTAAACAAGTTCTTACTTTTTGCCTTATTGGAAGCAACCTAGTGACTGAAAAAGAGATATCAAGTGACAAGTCACTCAATATACCTATATACCACTGGAGATTTATGACAGTTCAAACTGATACAAAATCAGGGGTGGTGATCACGCTTCTTAACTAGGGCTGCCATAACAACTTGCCACATGTGCTGCAGCTTCAGACACCTGAAATTATTCTCATAGTTCCGGAGGCCAGAATCCAAACTCAAGGTTCAGCAGGGCAGTGCTCTCAGGGTCTGGAGAAGAATCCCTCCCTGCCCCTTTCTGGCTTCTGGTGGCAGCCAACCATCCATGGTGTCCCTTGTCTTGTAGCGGCATCACTCCAGTTCCTGCCTCACATAGCATTTTCCTGTGTCGGTGTCCAGTTTCCCTCCTACAAGGACATCATCGGTCATTGGATTAGAACCCACCCTCATCCAGTATGGTCTCAACTTGATTGCAGCTGCAAAGACCCTAATTCCAGATAAGGTCACTTTCACGTGTTCTTGATGGACTTGAATCCAGGAGGGTCACTAACCAAATATAGTTACTATTTCCTTCTGGGGTATTTACACAGAAAGTGATATATTAAAAATGTAAAACCTTAGCCATTTCTTTGAGAAGTTATTATACCTGGCCTACTGTATGAACATGATTCTTTCTAAAAAAAATTTTAATCACTATATAATTTTCCTATTTAAAATTGTGACATGAATAATTGTGTTCCATACTCTTGAAGGGAAGCAGTAAAGTCAATTTTAATATGTTTGTGTAATAGGAGCAATAGCTACATTGTGCTGCTAAGTCTTGCATTAAGGCAGTCTAAAGTATTGCCTGTAAATTTTTTTTAAAATGATCTCTTTGCAGAGAAACAGAATAAAGACTAAACCTACCAGACATTAAAATATAGATTAAGGCTATGGTATTTGAAACAGTTTAGTACTTAATTCAGGTAGAAATGGAAAAAACAGTGGAGCTAAATAGAAGGTTGCTGATTAAAATAACAGTGAAGTACCAGTGTTAGCCAAATAGCAATGCAAAGGTCAAAAGGTTTGCATTTAACATGATGTTGGTGAGGCTGTTGAGAAACGGCATTGAGGCAGTTTCTACTATAATTGAAAAAGCACATCAAAGAATGTGTATTCAAGGATGCCACATTATTTGCAAAATATTTTAAGGTTTTATTTAGAGTTTTACTAGAAATATCTGGTTAACTAAGTCAGGATTTGTTCAGTGGAATACTATATGCCTGTGAAAATAATGCATTTTATGCATGTTTGTGGATGTGAAACATCTCCAGTAAAAAACAAGTAAATACATGGGGCTTGCAATTATTTAGGGAAAGAAGCAGGGCAGGAGTAATACACATTAATGTATGTGCTTTTGTGCATGTATAAAATATGTATGTAAGACTATATAAGAAAGTCATAATAGTGGTTGCCTTAGGAGACAGGTCTGATGTGGAAGACAAATTCTCATCTTTTTGTACTATTTTTAGCTGGATACATGTAGCACTGCATTAGGATATTTCAGTAACAGACCACATAGTACAGTGGTCCCATAAGACTATCAAGCCATTATTTTTACTATAACTCTCCTCTGTTTAGGCATGTTTAGATACACAGATACTTACTATTGTGTTACAGTTGCCCACAGTATTCAGTACAGTAACATGCTGTGTACAGGTTTGTAGCCTAGGAGCAATGGGCAATACCATACAGCCTAGGTGTGTAGTAGGCTATGCCATCTACGTTGTTGAATATACACTGTAACACACATGACATAACAACAAAATTGCCTTACAACTCATTTCTCAGAACATGTCCCTGTCAAGTGACACATGGGTAACTGTGTTTTAATGGAAATAACTGGGAAAAGGAAAAAAAAACGAATATTGTTCCAAAGGGTACATAAATGTTGAATGCATTATAACTCATGCTTATGCAGGTGTGGTTTTGACCTGTGTTTTTCTATAGGATTAGCAAGGAACTGTCAGCCCCTCATTGCGTGTAAAATGAGGGAAAAGCAGTCTTACAGGTATGCTAAGTTGGTGTTTCAGAATATCTACATTTATAACTAACTAGAGTGTAAGTCAATTCATCACACACTCACTAAGCCCTGCTTTTGCTAAAGGTGACCCTTGGCTGGTGTGATCACTATCCTTGGCCCTTCTGAGCATCTAAGTGCTATTCCCAGAGTTACGTCATAAAGGAACACAAAACTATTGATATATGTCTGCACAGTGAGTTCCCAGAGTACAACACAAGAGCAGTCTGTAACCTCGGCCCTTCCAGTAAAAGCATATGGAAATGCAAGTGAGTACATGGTGCCATGCACCTAACTTACTTGTTTTAAAGCAGAAGAGATACAGAAAAGTGCACTGTAAGTATACAGTTTGTTGAATTTTCAGAAACAGCACATCTATGCAGCCAGTCCCCAGACAAAGAAATAGCATGAGGCACCCAGAAGTCCCTCTTGAGTCCTCTCCCTGTCACTGTCCACCCCTGAAGGCAACTGTGTCGTGAACTGAGACAACAGAAATGATCTTTGCCTGGTTTTCTCTTTCTTTTACTCTTATAAATGGAGTCATAGATTATGTATTCTTCTGTTCAACATCATTTGGGAGTGTGTCCTCATTTATTTTTAAAATGTCAAGTACCTGGCCAGGTGTGGTGGCTCATGCCTGTAATCCCAGCACTTTGGGAGGCCGAGGTGGGTGGATCACCTGAGGTCAGGAGTTTGAGACCAGCCTGGCCAATGTAGTGAAACCCCGTCTCTTCTAAAAATACAAAAAACTAGCCGAGCGTGTGGCACACACCTGTAATCCCAGCTACATAGGAGGCTGAGGCAGGAGAATCACTTGAACCCCAGAGGCAGAGGCTGCAATGAGCTGAGATCGCGCCATTGTACTCCAGCTTGGGCAACAAGAGCAAAACTCCCATCTCAGAAAGAAAAAAAAAAAAAAAAAAAAAAAAACAGTCCCCACATTTCAGCTATTATTAGTAACAAAATACTTTGACTCCTCATAATTCTCTGACACACCCTATATGCTAGCACACTGAGATTAACAAACACTGGTCAAACAATAAAGTGTATGGTAAACAGGTTATGCAGGGCCTTGTGCAATTGGCCCCAACCTGCTTCTCCAGCCTGTCTGTGCTTTTTTCCCCATCCACTGTTCCTTGCACAACTCTTGGCCCTTACATACTCATTCATCAAACCCCATCTTCAGTGTTAGATCTGTGAAGCCTTTCCCCATCTGTTCCACACCATTCAATTTTGCATGCTCTATTCTCTGCACTTTGCTCTTTCCTGTGTTGTATCATTTGTCGCATTATATTTGAACCATAAGTCAACAGTCTTTCCATTTGCTAAGCTCTTTTTACATCGTCACATCATAGGCACAGCACAAATGTTGAATAAATGAGAAGTGATCCTTCTCCAGGGACTTGATAATCTGCTGGGGGAGACAGATGTGCAGAGAATTATAATCATTATCCTTACCTTGCACTTCCTACTTGCCACTGTTTTAAGTGCTCATCTAATCCTTCTAACAATGTTAGAAAGTAGGTCCTATTATTATTACTATTATTGTTTTGCAGACATGGAGATTAAGTAGCTTGCCCAAGATCATAAAGTGGCAGAGCTGAAGTAATGGATTCAAGTAGTTGGGTTCCAACCTCTTCTCAGACTCCTTGCATAATTTATTCCCTGCCTTCAAGACAGAAGATGAGGAATGTACACTATTAAAACGAAAATTGTTGCAGCTTTGGATATGTGTGGTGGGTGGTATAAGTCACACCATAAAAGTATATTGGAGTCAGGTCATCCAAGACCTAGGGTGATGTGCTAAGGAGTATTGACTTTTCTATACACAGTAGACAGCTGATGAGGTTTTTGAGTAAATGACTGGTTTTGTGTTGGAAGAAAGTGACTTTAGTGGCAATATAGTGGCTACATTGACAAGCACAAAGATTGGGAAGAGTTTGTTGCAGAAATCCCACTGAAGGCAAGGGCAATGGGAATGGGATGCAGGCCTGGCTGAATGCTCACATCAGCTTCTCTGCCTTCAGACACCCACTAACAACAATAAAGAGGCCAAATCACAAGCAACAAGACACATGAGGACAAAATCGAAAAGGAGAAAACAATTTTGGAAGCTCAAAGGTAGGTAGGTTGAAAATTCGTAACCACCCAGTGGGTTCATCTTGCCTGCTCCCTAAACAGAGCTGATTTATCAAGACGGGAATTTCAATAAAGAAAGAGTAATTCACTCAAAGCCGTCTGTAGGGGGGACTGAAGTTTTATTATAACTCAAATCGGTCTTTCCGAGCATTCAGGGATCAGAGTTTTTAAGGATAATTTGGTGGGTAGGGGATGTTGAGTCAAGAGTGCTGATTGGTTGGGTCAGAGATGAAATCAGGGAATTAAAGCTGTCTTCTTGTGCTGAATCAGTTCCTGGGTGGGGGCCACAAGAGCCAAGATCAGATGAGCCAGTTTATCAATCTGGGTGATGCCAGCTGATCCATCAAGTGCAGACTCTGCAAAATAGTTACTGACTTAGGAGCAGTTTAGGGAGGGTCAGAATCTTGCAGCCTCCAGCTGCATGACTCCTAAACCATAATTTATAATCTTGTGACTAATTTGTTAATCCTATAAAGGCAGTCTAGTCCCCAGTCAAGAAGGGGATTTGCCTCTTATCTTTGTTTTAAACTATAAACTAAATTCCTCCCAAACTTAGTTCAGCCTATGCCCAGGGATGAACAAGGACAGCTTGGAGGTTAGAAGCAAGATGGAGTTGGTTAGGTCAGATCTCTTTCACTGTCTCAGTTTCAATTTTGCAGTGGCGGGTTCAAACTAACTTAGTCGACCCAGGCACATTACATTCCTATCTGGAATGGGGAAAACTGAAAAAGCCTGACTTATGAGCTGGATTCCTCTGAAGGCTCAGGAGCTTGTAGTCTTGAGTACCATGCTGTACCATGGGGTGGTGGGTGGAAAAGCAATTGGAAACAATTACTTCTAGATCCTCTGCCCCATTCCATGTAGTTAGCGATTGCTCCCTCCACCACCTAGCAGATTAGAGGTTTATTCCCGGAGAGTGTGAAACAACAGGTCTTTGGACTAGAGAACACCAGACACAGCTGGAGATAGGAATAAAACACTGAAAACAGGATTAATTAAACATGTACATACTAAATATAACCACCATCCTCCCCGGCCTTCTCCCCAACTCTACTGCCAGAACACTTCTAACTCTAGGTAGGAGGCTAGAAGAGACTTTTCTGGGGAATTTAACAAACCCAAGAAAAAAGATCTAAAGACAGATATCAGGGTTCCCCAAGTAAATTACTCAGCCAAATCACCCTACTATGAAGCCCATAGTGGCAAATATCACCATGTACATAGAGCTAATTGGCATTTAAGTGGCTCACTCTTACATATGAGTGAATAGCCAAGGATCATCAGGAATTAGGGGAAAGCCTCTAACCCAAAAGGCGGAGATCAAAACAAACACGAAACAGATTAAACAAAGAGGAAGTTAATTTATCAATACCCTCAAAGAAATTATAAAGTATACTACATAAAAAATTTTCAGTGAGGGGC